GGGGGGAAGTAAGACAGAAAAACCTACCTACGAGCAACTAAACCAAAGCATTGCTACAGGCTGCTCCGGAGCGGCGGAGCCCCCGGCTCCCGCCCCCCTCCCACCCGCCGGCAGCGGGGCGCTGGGAGGCGGCTCAGTTTGACACCGGGCAGCAGCCCCGCCTGGCCGCCGGCCCGCCTCACGCCGCCGCCACACACCGACCGCCGCCCGCGTCATGGCGGACCTTTTAAAGGCGCAGCGCCGGCTGCGCGCACCGCCCGCTCGGTCGGGGACACCCGGGGCGCCGCGGGGTCCTCCCGTCTCCCCCTCACACCGCCCCGCAGCAGCCCCCTTCCCCGCAAGCGCCCGCAGCGCGGAGGCTCGGGAGGGCACCCCGGGAAAGCTGCAGGGCCGGGGGCGGCTTCCCGGCGGCGGCGGGGGCGCGGGTGGCTGCACACCGAGGGGACACTCCGTGCCGGGGTCATGAGCGGAGCTGCTTGGGACCCCCTTGTAAACATTCCCACTCCTCTACCGCATGGGGTGTATTAGTAAGGGGGGGCCCAAGGTGGGATATAGGAAGAGCCAGATCTCCAAAACTTGATAAAAGTTACATAAAAATCCATCTCTAGAACGAGTTCATCAACTTGCAGGTGAATAGCGGGCACCTGGCTTTCTCTGGAACTGGAGCACGGCAGGCTTAGGGTGGTGGGAAGGAGGAACATCTAGGGACGGCACAACTGGGCCACCACCACCAGGACACCACCCACAGAAGACAGGAGATGGACACAGCCATTCCTGGGGACAGCTACATCTCTTACTCATGTCACAAGAAGACCCACGGGTGCCCACGGGACTCGCTGTACAGTAAGGTACAACGCAAAGTGATGGCAAGTGACCAGGTCTCAGCTAGTCTCACCCACAGAGATTAATACAAACGTTGGCAAGTTTCTCCACCGATTTCACTTTCTTTTTTTATTACACTACTTTTTAATTTTTTCTTCCAAATTTCCCTCAATTCGGGATGTTTTCTAATGGCATGGAAGCGTTCCGTGGGTGAGGCGCTGTCAGCGCTCGGGAAATGAAGGAACACCCACCAACGGCCGTGCCCTGCCTGCCCCACCGAGGGGCTTTGCCCTTCCCCTTGGCACCAGGGCTGGGTCCCAGCCATGGCTCCCGTGCTGTGACCTTCTGACCATCCTTAACAGCCTGGTACAAACTGGTGGGATGTTTTACTCACAGAATTTCCTTCCGAGTCAAGCCACTGAGGTGACACCCTTGCTGTTTGCCGCAAGCCAAGGCAGGGATGTTACGAGCTGCTAGGGGATCCGTACAGACCCAGCTGGTGGATTCAGGCTGATTTCGGCAGAGCAAGTCACAGCTCCCTGGCACGGGTGCCCCAGCCAGTGGCTGTCCCCAGCCCCCTGCATCTCTCTGACTCCCAGAAGCAGCCTACTGCATCCCGGCTGCGCTTGTGAACGGAGCCACGTCACCTAACTGCCAACAGGACACAGTTACAAGCACTAAAATCACCGGAAAAGTGCACCTTTGTGCAAAGAACTGTAGATGTGACTTTCCCTAACCATTCCGTTTTGCCAGACGCTCATGCTGCCAAATAAATAACCAGAGCTCACAAAAACTGTGCAAATAATGAGGCTCGAGTATTGGTAGGAGCGCTCAGAACAGAGAGTGGTAGGAGTCCTCACTGCTTTAGATTTTAAATAAATGCAGATAAACAAGTTAAACGGAGTATTAACCATACTGCACCCTAAAGAAAAACCCTCTTTACTTCACATCCTAAAGCGTATTGTAAAATGTGGCATATTTGTGTTGGACAAGCCGCACAAGGCAATTCTTTTTTGTCTCTCAAGAAATGAGCATTCTAAATGAGACCATAATGAGTTTTCTGCATCAGCTGGTTTCTAACTTTGGTAATGAACTGACATTTGAGGATACAAATATAAACCAGCTATTTTACTCACACTCTCCCCTTCCTTCCATCATGTTCTTCAATTAATCCTTAGAGTATTGGGAGCGAGGCTCACTCAGCGCATGTGTTCCGTCTAAAAGACCTTGAACAGCAGAGAGAGGAATTTTAAGAGAACAGGCTGTGGAAATATTCAACATGGAATACGATCTGTGGTTTGTATTTTCATTCATTGGGGCAAGGTAATTTAATTAAAACAAGATTATGTCTGGAGGGAGACAAAGGAGGAAAAGTGAATTAGACTTTTGTCTGACATTTGCATCCTGCTTCTGGGGAAAAAAAATAATATAATATTTCCATGCCATGTATGGAAGGAAGGGAGAGCGGGGTTAGGAGATCCCGGTTAGGGGGTCAGCCCTGCGCCTTTCTTAACTCCTGCTGCTACACAAGGAGAAACACACAGAAGTCGGCCTGGGTATCAGACACCACCAGTTGACCCTGCTTTCTGCGTATTGAAAAATGAGAGTTTTCCTACTGAAAATCTGTTAGCGGTGTGGTGGGTACTGCACTGCAGCTCCCCCAGCACTAAATAAAGGCCTTTACACCTTTCTTATTCTAATGTCCTGAGCAAAAACATGGTTCACAGGCAAAGCTATGTGAGCAGGGAAGGAAGGACTGGGGAAGCTCCTCTGCATAAACTAGGCTTGTGGCCAGCGGGATGGATTATACCCATGTGATAAAACACAAATTTCTTTCTCAGCAGTGCCTGAAGGTTTTAGGGTTCCCCGGGGTGGGGAGGCGAGCGCCGGGCGGTCGCACGGCGGGCTGTGGCGAGCCGGGCCCCGCGCAGGCCGGGCCGCCCCTCAGCCGCCCCGAGCGCCAGGCGGCGGTAAGGGCCGGCGGGGCCGTTTTCCCGCCTCGCCCCGCCCCGCCAATCGCCGCCGGCCCTGCAGCCGCGGGGCCTGCCGGGAACTGGAGTCCCTCAGGCAGGGGCGCCCCGCCGCCTCAGGGCCCCGGCGGTGAAGGGGCCGGGTGCGGGTTCCAGAACAGGCGGGGGCCGCTGGTGACTGAGCTATGGCGTGGGGTAAAGGCTGGAAGGCCCTACGCTTTTTCCTCAGGGTGTGCAGGGAGACGTTTCGGGGCTGGCACTGATCCTTCGTGGTTCCTGGCAGGTTGGGAACGCTGCTTACCATGGGGAAGAAAGCAAGCCAGACAGAGCCATAGTGCTGAGAGGTTTTGTCCAAATGTCATTAGCGGCCAAAAATTGTCAACTCCTCTTAACGTGCAGCAGTGGGTCAGGGGAAATGAACAGGGGGCACAGGCCATTTTTAAGTAGTTCTTGTCACAGACGTGAAAGTGACACAGGTCATAGAATTGCAGAATCATAGAACGGTTGGAGTTGGAAGGGACCTTAAAGGTCGTGGAGTTCCAACCCCCTGCCATGGGCAGGGACGGTTCCCACTTGACCAGGTTCCTCAAAGACCCATCCAGCCTGGCCTTGAACACTTCCAGGGATGAAGATGACTGCTTGCCACCCAAACTGAGTTAATTCACAGCTATTTCCAGTCTCTTAATAACAGTGTCTAAAAATCCCTTTTTCTTCATTTCCTTCCTAGCAACACAGGACTAAAACAGGGCCTTCCAGGCCATGGAGTTTGATCTCCTGCCATAACAGGCAAACCCTCACAGAACCACATCTGCACCCGGTGCTGGTCTGGAGCCCATGAGGAATCTCACCCCATTCCCCCAGTCAGAAAGCCTGTGTCAAGCTCCCCTTTACTGGTGGGTAAGAACTTTGAATTTACAGCTTGAAAAATACGTGAACAGCTTATACCCATTTGTTCCTGTAGTAATATTGTTCAGTTTAATCACTTTCTTCTCTGTTTCTCTGGTATTTACTTGCTTATATGGACTCAGCTGCCTGACTGACAATAGCCCTTTTAGTCTCTCTCTGTAATAAGCTCTGCATTTTCTGAAATCATTCCCCTTTCCTCTTTATGTACATTTGCCTTCCAGGAGCAGACATTTGGAGCTGCACCCTGGGGTGCAGCAGGTAGGTAGCAATATCTTGTACCTTCCCTGTCTGCTCTGAATAGCTCCTAGTTCCACACTACACTTACAGAGGTCTTATCACACCCGTATGGCACTGATGGTTCCAGACATCTTAGGATTGCTAAGTACCTCAGGGTCTTTTTCATAGTCCCAGGCAATTATTGCACACCCAGAAAGAGGCAAAATCCCTGTTATGGGTCCAAGTTGCACCTTTCCAACATGTTTCTCTACTCTCAGAAAACTGTCTTTCCTCAGTTAAGGTCTTCTCTGCTCCAGTCCGTGTTCTTTCTAGTTTGCTCGAAAGGAATTTTGCGCTTACCTTGCTCTGTGGCATCGACAGCTTAATGCCCATCGTCCCGCTCTCCCTTCCCTACCTGGGCACTGCACAGAGGAAGGAGGGACAGTTCCCAGCACCAAACTCCAGTCTGCCCACAGAGTCAGCAACAAAGCACCTCCCTTCGATTCCCACCTTGGCCGGGAAGGTCAGCCAAAAACCATGCCATGTCTTCTTCACAGTCCCCTTCTGACCTGCCAGGGTTTTCTGCATGGCTGAGCATTGTCATGTTCCTCTGAAGTTCTGCATAAAGCCAAAACAAAAGGCCAAGGATAAAGCAAGTGTGTAAAGTGGGAGGTGTAAAGCAAGCATAGAGGAAAGTCGGGCAGAAAACCTGTGGCAAGAATCCAGCAGAGTGGCTTGTACCAACCCGGCGTTCATTTCTGAGGCAATTAAGTTGAAGTGTGTGTTTAAGTGCTAGGTCAGAGCACAAGAGCCAGTCAGCCTCGATTTATATTCCATGCAGTCACCTGAGTACTTTCTTATAAGGTAAAAAACAAGGTCCAGAGATGTGCAAAAACTTTTGTAGAAGCTCTGGGTTTCAGGATGGCAGGAGGGGTTAAGAGCTCTGCAGGGCATGTGCCCAGTCAGCACTGCTGGCATTTACTGACAAGGCAGTAACTAACAGGATGGGCAATACCCTCTTGTTTTGTCCCAAAGGGGAGTCCCTTAAGTCTTTGCTTTAGTATGCTGAAGTCCTTTTTACACACTGAGCATTAAGCAACCTTTTCTTTAGTAATCCTATGAATCTCCAATCAGAGGACTGAGCTGCACCTTCTTCACCCATGCTAAAAATAAATGTCCACGGCAGCCGATTACAAGGCAAGGCCAGCCCTACCTTTCTGCTTCCCCTGGTTTCCAAGGCTGAAT